TTTCAAGCCCCCCGTATGGCAGTTTGGCTCGTGTCTTGACAAACTACTCATGAACAGTAGAGAATATCTTAGGACAGCTTTTCAGTTTAGGTCCGGAGGAAACTATCATTGCCAACTCAGCATCCTTTTAAACCTGGTTCATTACAGACCCAATCCCAACTCGAAACCTGTCAGAAATCAGCTCATGTGGATAAGGCTGACGTTCCCGCGATGCAAACCGTTCTGCACGCCTCGCTTCCAACATTCTGCATGTGCCACATGTACAGCTCTGAATGCTGATGTGGCCAGGGAGTGACACGGTGGGCTGTGGGTAAAGTTAGGATTGGCTGCATGTTTCCCTGTCATGCTCTTGGGTCCTCCATTTCCAGGGGCTGTTGGGATAGAAATCCAGGAAGCTTCTGGAAATCGTTGGTGGGCTTGCTTGACGATGCCTGAAGCAATTTGCCTTAATTGGCAACCTAACCACAATTGGAGGAGGAGGAAGCCCTTTTTTCTGGAAGACAATGGACTGCTCACTGGAGAGGCTCTTCCAAAGGGAGGGAGATAATGAAACTCAACTTTGTCCCATGGCTCTGCCAAAGGGCAAGTTTTTCAACCCCCCTCCCCATCTCCCTTTGGTTACTTGGCAGCCAGAGGGCTTTACAGACAATGTAGGGCACCTCCCTACACCCTCAACGTGCTTTTAAAAGGAAAACCCAGATCCTCAAGACATCCAATAAGAGTGTATGTTTTCAATGCATATTGAGGATAATTTACTGAAAAGAAAAGAAGATGTGCAATCCAATATACAATTAGCCAATGTATTGTGCTGATTGCCTCCTCACTTACCATAGGTTGTCTTTTGATCAACTTGCTAAATGCTTGGGATAGAAGGGACTCACATATGATATGTTTCTGGTTTATTTGCAAAAGCTGTCATTTCTATACTGCATTTTTTGGGATTTTTTTTACAAACTTTGACATGTATTGAATCTTTTATTTTTTGATGTTTCTTCAAAATTTTGTTCCATGAATTGCAGCTATTATCCATTGTTGTTAACAAAAATTTGCACTGTAATCTGATTAGAGAGGAGATTTTGCCTTCAAATTTCTTGTACTATGGTCCAAAAGTTCCTCACAATTGCATCATGGAATAATAGTCTGAATTTTTTATAGTGACAAATGTATATATATATATATATATATTGGTACTCCATGGCCAAAGATGATACACTTTAAAATAATGCAAGGAGACTTGCATAGTGGTAAGTTGTTTTAAGGCGAGATGATTGGTTGTAATATATTAGTACTCCACATTCATACTTCTTTTTATTTAGAAAACACCTAAAAATAAATGTAGGATGGGACATCAAAGAAAATACTTTGTGAGGATGATGTTGCTCTATTTTTTTAACCTTTTCAGTCTTTATTGGTGTTTTTAATTACATTATTTATGTGTTATTGTTGCATCTCAATGCAAATCAAGAGTTTTTAATTGGAAAAAGTTAGAGATTTTTTTTTTTCTGTTGATCTAACTAATTTGATGGTTTTCAGAGGCAAAAAAAATTAACTGCTTTTAACATAAATGATTGATATTACATGAACTTATGCATCTCTTGCAATATTGTATTAATTTGCATAAGATTGTAGATGTTTGTGTCAAGTACTTGTAAAAATTTAGAAGTATGATTCTTCAATAAATGCATTATTTTGTGTAGACATAGTAGCAGTTGATATTATATGCCAAATATATATATATATATATATATATTAGAAAAAATTCCTTGTAACAAAAGTTTAACCCTTGTTTTTTATATATTCGGAATTCTTATTTGTATACTTCTTTATGTTTTTTGTTCTCAAATAACTTTAGATCTTTGCTGTGGGAGTTATCAATGTTATATTTAGATAAATGATGATTTACAGTGCCTTAAAGATGTGTGGCAATGCATGTTTATTGTTTATAGTATCAGGGTTGTAGAAGTTCAACATTATAGTTTTCAATTTCAAATTATATATATAAGTATGTGATAGAGATACATTGTCTGCATATTATAGATAAGTTATTATAATTTTCATACATGATTGTTGGTATGTGATTGACTTAATTGTAGACTATTACTTTCATATATACTAGATTAGCTTATTCAATAATTACATTACACTGTTGGTCTGCAAGGATGTTGTTGTTATTGTTTAATTTTATTTTGCAATTTAGAATATGGTTTCTATTTTCAATAATTTTAACCATTCTACTTTAAACCTAATCTTCAATTCCTTTCAACGTAATTCATATCAACATTTTAAAGCATACAACTTACAATGAACTAAACTTTTCTATCCACAATTGATGCATCATTATGTCTTATTTAGAGTGTAGAATAACTTCGTTGTTAATTTTGAGGATTATTTTTATTTTATTTCATTTTAATTACGGTACCTAGAGAATCCAAATGTAGGTTTTCTTCCAAATAAAACTTTTAATATAATCTTATAAATTATGTCTGTAAGCCATGAAATGATTTATTTTTCACTGAGGAAATGTACACAAAAAAAAACTTTTTAAATAATTAGAATATGATTGCAGAATCAAGATTGATCAATTATAGTTTTAAAAACTTAAAACAGTGTATTTTTATTGTTATAGAAAATAATTTCAACTTGATATTTGGAATATAATTCCACAAATAAGTTGTAGTTTGATTTTGTATTCTACCAATAAAAAGCTAGGATACAATTTATATCATATCCATCAAAACTATAATAAATATAAAAATAACCACTTATACCAAAAAAAGAATTTGTACGAAAAATGAAAGGCCCTTAAGAACAACTTTTTATTTCTTCCCCTTAAAACAACTGCTGATAATTCCCATTTTAAAACAAGTCTTGCACCATTTTCCATCAAAAGCTGTAAAAACAGTTTTTAGTGAAACATCTGTAGTAACAAGGGTCAACAAATGAATTTATATTTCATTGTTCAATTGAAACGTGCGTGTGCGTGTGCGTGTGCCCCCCTTTTTTTTTTTTTTTTTTTTTTTTCGGTCCATTAACAGACAGTTGGGACATTATAAGGGAATCTCTGGCCCGGGCAGACAAGAGGGCATCTTGCTTTCACTTGCTCTGCCCCGTTGCCTTCCAAAAGATCCATGTCTTCACCCACACACAGGATGGGCCTCCAAGTGATTTTAGTAGCAGATTTCCATTCATTTACTATACTCAACTATTTTTTCTGTCTATCCTTTTTTGGGGTCATGGACTTATGCCTTTGAATTTAAAGATTCAACTTGCTTTCAATACAAATATTTGACAAAGTGAAAAAGTCAGCACTTCAAGTCCATACTGTGGTTGCATGCATATTTGTATAGAGTAAAGAACAAAGTAAAAAAGGAATCAATGCTTCCAAATTCTGTATGTAGTCACGTGAAGTTTGGTTAATCTTATTTTTCTTTTTCCTCAAATTAAAATGTTACTTACTGATATATTAAAAAAATGCCAGAATTTGTGCCACTACTTCAAAGAGCACCAAATTTCAACTATGGAGTATTAGGTACTAAGTGCTACATGTTGATCACTTATAACTCAATATTGTTTTTGTTACTCTTTTGTGTATGCAAACCAAACTTTCTTGTTGCGTTTCCCCCTTCTCACTAGGACCCAGGTTTAAGGTTTAGGGTTTCAAAGTTTTGTTCATTTTTTAGGGTGTTTTTTTAAAATTATGCACTGGGTTTTGAACAAACCAGCTTTGCTGTCTCCTATGAGGCAATAATCTGTTTTGTTTTGTTTAGTTTGTTTTATTATTTGACCCAACTGGGGCACACTCAACAATCTGCTTCAAAAAGAAGGTATGAGAGGGTTAGGGGCTCCAAAGTGCCCTTTCACATGGCACAACCTTCAACTCATTGGCATCCACTATGGAACTGAGGGTGTGGGTTCCCTCTTTTCCATTTAAGGACATCCCATGATTGGAATGGAATCATGGAAAGCTTGAGCAGGGCAATGCTTCCTTAAAAATGCCCACGATTTCTACTTGTGGGTTTTCAACTTGCCACATGGGCTTGAAGTCTCCCACTAGCAATGCCCAATTAGAGCCTGGTGGACACCAGGTCATGTGGATCAGGAAGCATGTCAGTCTGATGTGGCATTCCCATTAAAATGGGATGCCACATGGCAGTTAACTATTGGAATGGGAATGGATGTTGAGATACACATGGCAGGTAGTGTTGGTGGTCCTTCTATCTCACAAGCTTTGCCAGTGTCCTTTGTGGGAAGTAGAAGAAGAAAATAGAAGAAGAGGTTTAAAACTCTCTTTCCAAAGAAGCTGTACACCAAAATAGGGGAAGTGGAGGTTGGAAAAGGAACAAAGAGAGAGAGAGAGAGAGAGAGAGAGAGAATGATGAGGAATACATGACCATGATGCATATGACTTATGAACTAGGCTGAGTTCAGATATAGACCACTAAATAGGTCCTTTGTTCTTGGGGATTGTGTGTAAGTTACACAAATCTGGTGGTAGGGGGGTGCATATTTTTTTGAGCAGATCAACCACTGTTGTGTTGAGGTTCTGCAAATATGCAATTGGAAGAGACAACAACAATAGGGTTGAGATTTTTTTGGATGAATAACAAACCAATAACATAATGCTAAGATGGAATATATTAGCAAATACACTTTGTTAATTGATAAGAACGAAGATAAAAGCATAGTTTGTGGAGAATATAAATGAAGGCACACAAAGTTGAACACAATAGCCTCTAGTCTCGTCCTATCTTCAAAATTAGCAACTACTAGAACAAATTTCTTTGTTCAAACCAAAACTATTTGCACAAGGGATACCAATGGCTTCATCCATCACTCCATTCCTATTGGTCCAGGATGATTTTTTTTTAAAAAATTACGTGAAAGTTTACTGGATCATAGCTGAAAAGAATATACCACAAAATATTCCAATCCAGCACACCTCTCGCACATGGACCAAATGAGAGGATGAAAGCACCCCGACGAACCAGGGGGTTTCCAAGTATCATCCATCGTTCAGATATCATCCAGAAAGGAGGCCAAGCGTGGGAATGAGAGAGCGCAATGAGGAGTGAGGAGGACTCGGTACTGGGGCCCTGATATCACGAGCGGGGGCTTTGCCAAATGCGCTCTCATAGTTATCCAAACCGCACCAGGGTACTGGAAACCTGGTCAGCATGCTAGCTTCACTTAATCGGATCTGGCTGGATGGATAACATTAGAGTCAGTCAGCCAGTCAGTCAGTCTGGTCAACACTAGATGACGATGCTGCTGCAGATGATGTTAGTTGAATCTCTGTGTGTCAGTCACTTATCTGCTGCCAGTGGGTTAGGCACCGCAGCAGCAGCAGCAGCAGCACATCGCATCAGACCCCTGTGTCTTCGCCGGCACCCTGAGGTGGACTGAGGGAGCAGGTTGAACTCTGGGCTGTTTTTGCAAGCTGGGTGATGGTCTGGCTAAGAATGGGTTTTGATGACCAATTGATCACTACTTGCCACAAAAAGCCACCAGTTGTGCTCCATTCTTAGCGACTCCTGAGGGTCCCACTGGCGTATGATTGTGGGCGAGTGCATGAATGCTTGTGTTATAACGCCATGGCTGCAGGTATTGCACTTGAAGCGCAAAAAGGGTTGGTGTGCTTCGACATCTCCTGGTGGTTGTATTTTCCATTTGGTTCTGGCTTCTGAGGCTGTTGGTGGAGACCACCTTCCTGTTGTGCAGGGAGTTGGGACTTTTGGGGGCCTATTCATGAATCACTGCTGTTTGGCCTTTTTCAGAGAGGATTAGGCAATGGACAGAGTCCCCCTCCCACAAGCACACACACACACACTTGTGCAATAGGAAACAGCTGCTCCTGAATCTTAATCTGTCCATGAGAATACCTCTTCTTTGCCTTTTAGGTCCAAATTCAGAGTGAGTGCACATACTGTTTTAAGAATTCATGTGGACATGCCTGCATGCTCCATCCAGATGGCCAAACCTTTCAGACCTGGTGTTGCTTAAAGCTGGACTTTAGGTTGACTATAGTTTTGCCTACATGCATGTGAAGAATTCTGCACTTCTACAATGCGGCGAGTTGATGCTGCTTACAAAGAACTGGTAGCTCTGGGGCTGTACACATTTGATTCTCCACTGGTTCAACATGCAAACCCATGCCCCCTTGTTTTGTGGCTGCATGTTTCCTAAGAATATATCAGTTGATCACTTGCTATGGTTCTCAATGCATGCTTTCTTTTGCTTGCTGTCTTTGCAAGCTATTATCACTATATATATATATATATACATACACATCTCCATATCCATACACACACATTTTCTAGTTGAATTATGTGTTGTTGAACATGGAAATAGGTAGAGTAAACTGCAGTATATCTCTTCCAGAGATAATTTGTGTAAACTCTAGTTCTTACATTAAATGATAAAGTAGAAATAAAACAATTCTTGGGGCAATAAAAAGATTTAATCATGTCTAAGTTATCTCTTTATTTTTTGTCTCTCATTTAAGGTCCATACTAAACAATAAAAATTTCTTAAGAAATTATGATATATATTTTTTCAAGTTTAAGGAATTTTTGTAATATTTCTAAAGGCCAAGGTTTCCAAATAACAACTTTAATTTTGCCAAACTAGGGATTTTAATTAGATTGTTTAGACTGCTACCATTCAAAGTGGAATTTTAAATATAAAGACCAAACAAATGATTGTTGTTCCAACAAGGATTTTGATCAATTTTTCTAAATATTTAAATATATTTTTTGTTCCAACTTTTATACTATATGTATACGATTTATACATTAAAAATCAACAATTTATGGGTTACTAAAATTGCAGGTTAAAATTAGTAAGTTAATATCTTATATTTAAATGAAACATGATTACAAAAGAATTCATTGTTTTTATCTTTATTGAAGTTATAGAAGAGGAGTTTTCATAAGTTGTGAAAATATGACATGTGAATATGTGCAACCAGATAGTTTGTGTGTAATATGTATGCATGTGCATATATACTTCTTTTATGATTGCACATTTTCAAAAAATATTTTTTGAATCTTTATCCATGTTTCTGTGCACTAAAAACATTAAGTTTATTCTAGCTATGTTGATATGCAAAGTTGCAAATTGTCAAGTAGTCAATTGACTTGAAAAATTAATGGGCAATTACAGGATTATTATATAACAAATGAATAAAGGTGATAGTTGGGCAGAATAACGATGAAAAGAAATTGGTCCCTCTTCCTGAATGCTTCAAAACCCAGATAACATGTACAAAATTTCTTCTTATATTATGATTATTACTGAAACGTTTGTTTTTATATTCAGTTTGTTCTTGGAATGCTTGCTTATGTCACATTGGAAATGACATATCAACTCCTTCAAAAGCACGTTTCATTTCCAATTAACACTATGTTGAAGGCCCTGCATGTGGGCAAATGGAGGAACCCAAAGACTTGGCTAAAACTCCAGCGATCTCTTCAGACTGAACAGCAGGTGGGGGCAGAGAACTGTACACTCTGGTTACAATGGTCACGCGAGAATCAGGAGAGAGAATCTTCTCAACGATTGATCTGCTCAAATGTGACTCTTAGCGCTGCGCAAAAATCTCCAAACCTCAGCCGTGAAAGGGCAGAATCAGAGGAAACTGTCGAGGTTCCATTTTGTTGGGAAGAGGAAGCAGGAATTAGTAAGCAGGGAGCTTCGAATTATACACAGTTGGCTTCAGTCTCCGGTGATCACAAAAGTTATCTAGACTTGTCTCTGCTATATTCCCCACGTCATCCACCTGGATGCCCATGTTGCGCATTTTGAGAGTATCGCGGGTGGTGGGAGATTGCCATGGAGCGTCCCACCAGGCAAACGGGAGGAGAGGAGTTCTGGCGCACTGCGAAGCTTGATTCTTGCAAGCCAGCTTTCCACCGAACGTCCTCCACGCGTGACCCCAACCGGACTGCTTCATCAAGCCTTGAGCCAGCAAATCTCGTTGAAAACTGCTGTAAAGTAAGCAAGGGGGTGGGCTGTCCTCACTGTCTGAAAGAGTTGTAGCTGCAGCCAGAGCACCCACAAGCTGCGCGTATGTCGTGCAAATCCTCTCGCTGGCGCCGGAGATGACGGCCACTCTTGCACGAGCAGCTAAGAAAAAGTCTACCAGGGACACCCAGCGGGGCATCTCTCCCCAGTCCCGCATTTTGCTTCGGGGAGGCTGGCCGTAATGTAAGCTCATCACCTCGCTCAAGTTTTTAAACTTGTTTAAGTATTCCTTGTAATCGAAACGAATCAGTTCTGTATTGTCCTGTAATTGTTCATTGATATCGCTAAACACTTCTGGAGTATCTGAAATGATCACCACGCGTTGCTTGCCCCTGCCATGAATAAGCACAGGTTTGAAGAGATAAGTGCTCAAGATTCTGGCAGCAAAGAATTTGCAGTCCCAATATCATTTCTAAAGAACATGTCATAATGCGGTAATACTCCACCACTTGTATTATCCTACAAATGTCTCTATCCCATCATTAATCACATGAATGGACGATATCCTCAACATGCAACAACAAAAGTGAAGACCATGTATACCTAGAAGTTTGTTGCATTGCCTGTGCGATATGGGCAAGGCAACGTGAAGCAGCCATTGGTGCATCTAGACTCCGGTTATGGCGCAAGCGCAGGTGGACGGCGAAGTCTGGCTCGGCCCCTCCCTTCAATGCCCACTCCACAGCTGCTTGGATATCGCGAGTAGGAGTTATAAAGGCTCGAAGAAGCTCTCCGAAAGTATTTGGCCGTGAGCTCGGATACGCGGGATGACCAAGGACCATGGCAGCCGCAGACCTCACGGCTGCATTTCTGTTTTTCAGTAAGAACTGCAAACCAACTGTGTCTACTGTGCCCTTGAACCATAGCACAGTGTCTGGTATGGTTGTCCAGTCATCGCATAGCGAGTTCGATCGTCCGGGTCCATGCTCAATGTCATCGACACGCATTGTCATGCGGCGGTTGTGCTTTCCAGCGCAATCGTGTACAGCCCACAGGTGTTTCACTTCTTGCATACTAAAAAATTGGTTGGAGTATACTATATAGTCTCCAAAGGGAAGGACAATGTTCCGGGGATCACCAATGTAGGATGGAGTATTCGCTCCACGCTCACCTTCAGGAACAACATTTCAATACAGTACCCTAAGTGCAAAGCTATGAAGATGTCCTGTACATGAGCTTGAAGAACACTTAACTGTTCGAAATTGATTGAGTTCATTGCCTATTTTTCAATTTTAAAAGAGTCCGTGAGAATTATCACTAAAGCTAAGGATGAAAAAAGAAGAAGAAAACACGAAACTTAAATTGTCAACGTACCTATTATGAGCGAACGATTGAGCATGAGGGCAAGGCCTGCGCCACTCAGAACTTTGTACATATTATTACCAAAACCATCTTCAGAAGCAAGTCCCATTACAAACTTGCGCTCACAGAATTCCAATCCAGGGAGGTTGCGAATCGTTTCCGCTCCATGATCAAGCATCCACGTTTTGATCATGTCACGTAATCGAAGGCTTGCAGCCCTTGTGTCGCCAACAGCTACAGATCCCATCTCCTCAACTGTACCACATTGCTTTGGAGGTTCCCAGCACTTTGAGAATACTCTGGGAACTTCGGAGCGTGAGATAAAAGAGGAATCATCCTTCTCACAGCCAATAACCTCTTCTTCGGTGGCTGATTTACCTGGCATATCCAGAGGCTCAATCTCAGAAGAAGAGATCCATGGCCCCAAAAATCCTAGTAGCTTTTGACCGATGGTAGGAGATGTCGAAGAGCTAGAGAACACATTCTTGTTCACACCCTGAGATTTCTTAGAAAGCAGATGGGGAGCTGCGTTGGCTCCCATTTCGGACTCAAACGTTTCTGTCATTTGAATACTTTGAACTTTCTCCTCTTGGTTTCTCTTCTCCAAGTCCTGCTCTTGAAGAACATTTGAACGCAAACTAGACCATTGCCCCTTTGCTCTTGCGAGGTCATCCATCTGAAGAGCCCCATTTCCTACACCTACATTCCCATCGCTAGATAGTTCGTAAATTGTTAGCAACACGCTGATGCATATCATACAGAGACCGAGAAGCTGAAAACCTAAAGAATAGTTGCTGTAGATGCGGCGGTGCTCCCTAATCTGCTTGGAATTACTTCTTCGTAAGATTGGGGGCGGCATGTTGGAAATGTAAATGAGGTTCTTGATAATGAGCTCAATGTGCCTGTAGACTAAATTCTTGCAAAGTCTAGAAGGTCTTCGTGGATCTGGCGGGAGGTAGGATCAAGAAAGAGTCGTGACTCACAGTACAATCAGCCATTCTTAAACTGGGAGCCCAGTACTACGCCATTAACTTGACAATTGTTTACGCCTGCATACACAGACATAGATTAGTGGCAGTCTAAAAGCAATGCAGACATTAACGAGATGAATCAGATAAAATTCGAAGAGGGGAAAGCTCAATCCAAGTTCAGGAGATGGTTAATGTTCGAGGGTTTGTGGAAAGACATTCGCAATAGGATTTAATAGAAAATAGCTGCTAATAAAGGATTGGTAAGAAAATTCTGATGCCAGTGAAGACTCGAACAGAAGGTTTGTTTCAGAAACTAGCTGCTTGAACACCGGGAGTCTTTGCCACCAGATGGTAGAGTATTCCGATGCGAAGAAAGAAGAGAGAAATAAAACAGAGAAGGGGTGGTAGAAAGAAAGAAAAAAAGAAGAAATTAAGGGAAACAAGAAAAAGAAAGAAAGAAAGAAAAAAAAAATGGAGACCGCGGTTTTGAATTCTTCAACTCGTACTGCGAGCTTACTAATCATTCATTAGAATTGAGCTATTCCTAAGAAACGCAAGGACTGCAAAACGGAAAACCGACAACACACGGCTAGGGGAGTGTGTATGAAAAAAGGCAAAACACTTAGCGCACCAACCCCAACCAACTCTACAACTCACCTCAACAACCACGACTACCCACTTCACTGGAAAACGAAAAACACAAACTGCGTCACCATCACCACCTTGAGCCTTCCATTCCATGTGCAACTTCAGTTGTGAATCAACACTCAGTACTCACCCAAATCCCTTTCGCGTTTTGCCAAGTAGACAGCAAAATGTGAGACGACGACTCCACTGTGGGGTCGGATCTAATGTGGGCATGGCATCAGTGGAGAGTTCGGCCACCACGGAACAAGCAACACCAGCACCAGCACCAGCAGGAGCCCCAGGCATAGCCAGTAAGTAGACCCCCAACAAAAGTGCCACAATCCCTCGTCCTCATTCAGAGCTGACGGTCTCGCTACAATGCAACAAAACCCCCACTTCTCCCACTTCTGCTAATGAAAGGGACCCAATAATGCTGGTGCCAATAATCCCCCACCTCCTCCTCCTTAGTATGGGGCTTGCCCTAACACTGGGAGCTTTACCCAATACTCCACACACCCTCTCGTTTCCCTTTAATTGGTGTGTGGTTTTGGGTCCCACGTTTTTTCTTTTCGTTTTGAATGTTCGGATCAACTTTATGAAGAAAGTAGATCCTTTGCTTGTTGAACATGGTAATAGTTCTTGTGAACTCCACCCAGTTTTTGTGGACTTTAACGTGAATTTTACCCAATTTTTACTTCGTTATCATTGTGGAGACGTTTTTCACTTTGGAATTTGGAGGTGTCTTTCATGAAGTTCGTATGATGTCTACTTGTTACACCCTTGTTTAGCCAACGATTCTTTTGAATTCACATAATATTTTAATTAATGAATTCAGAATACAGTGTTTTATTTTAAATTGATGTTTAAAATATTTATTTTATTTTATTTAGATTGATGCATAAGTTTTTTAAAAATAATAATAGTGCTAAATTTTGATTTTTGACAAAAAAATATAGATTTTTAATCTCTATTGGGATTTTTTAAATGTACATTAGAAAATAAATATAAGATTCATTTATAGAATAAAATTACAATTGATCAAAACCACAAAAGAACAACTAAATTATTTTATAAATAGAATTTAGAATTTAGAATTTAGAATTTTAAAAGTTCTAATCATAAATATTTTTATTAGCCCACAACCTCCTTGCATCAAAGACGACATTTTAAAGTTGTAGATTACCTATAGAGTTTAAGAATTTAAATTAATGATAAAAGATGACGTTTTTCTTTTTCTTGTTGTTTTTTCTTTGTTTTTTCTAATCAGTCAAAAAAAATACAAGGAATTCTAAATTTTACTTAGCTTGAATTAGTTTATTAAATACTTTGTGTATTTTTTAAAATATTTATAATAATTTAAAAAAAGAAAAAGCACAACTATAACATGTTTATGGTTTTTATATTTAATATACAAATATAATATAGTAGATATATATTCTAACTCTAAAAATAATTTTGTTAAATTTTATGAATATAAAAAACAAAAATAACAAACTTATAAATATTTATATTTACTAGAACATTTATGTAATAAATAAATTAAAAAAATTACTTAAGATTTTAAAGACATGTTTTTGAATCATTTACATTCTATTTTTTAATAAAACTATTATAATGAAATTCTCTTTATTAAATTGAATCTATAATGTATTATAAGTAGAATATCTTATTTGGTAAAAAAAATTTACAATTTCAATTTATAATTTTTATTAAAATTTCTTTTATTGAAGAAATTGATACATTTTTATTTTTTTTAAAGAAATAAAAAATAAGAGATAAAAAAGATAATATATTATAAATATATTTTGGCATATTGTAATCCAATAATATCACCATATACAAACATCTACCTATGTTATTATTATTGTTATTAATTTATCTTGTTGTAAAGTATAAAAGAATCTTAAAATTATAAATGCTAATCTTAAAACAAAATTATAAAATTTATACTTATATGTGGCACAATTCTATAACTATTATAAATAAAATTGAAGTCTTTCAAATTTTACAAATTTTTTTATTATATTTAATAAATAATAAATTAATATCACCAGGTTGCATTATCAAGTTAAGATTCTTTTTATAAATCTTTTAAGTATCAAAATATTATATAATATAATGTAGATTTAATATGGAACAATTTATGAAATTAATTTTTAGACAAGTAGAGGTAGTAGGATTGTAAACAAAGTCAAGTTTAGTAGAGAAAGTATCATTAATTAAAATATCTTGGTTGAATAAAACAAAAAAAAAGAGTTTGAAAATCATTTTTATTAAGTGGATAGAAAGAAGTATTACAAATAGAGGTTTGAGTAAGTTGTAGCTTACCGTATTTTTAAAAAAAATTTAGTTGTTATTTTTTTATTTAACTTTTGGAATAGAAAAATAATAGATGTATTAAAATGACTCAACAATATGATGCATAAAATTCTCGTAGAATATAATTTTTTCTTATTATTAGAATGGTTTAATTATATGCCAAAGTGTTTGAATTCAGATATTCTAGGATAGACGTCAATTACGGTTTTAGGAATATGATTTAGGTTTTTAAGATGAATTAGAATTAAAAATTAAATTTAATCTTAATAATATTTGAATTCTTATAATAGATTAGAAGTAGATTATTAGAATATATATAAGGATTAAGTGAAAGTTATTTGATTATTTAATCTTAAATGTTTAGTCTTTGGATTTCAAGTTTAGCTTATTAAATTTAAAATACATACATGGTGCAACAATATAAAAAAGTATGCAATAAATATTTTATAATACATAATAAATAAGATGTGCAATTGTAGATGTGTAATAGTAGAAAAAATTAAAGGAACAAATGTGTCAAAGACATGAATTTCAAGAAACTAAAAAGATCAATAAATTCTTATGTCACTCAAATAGACTAAAAACTCACTAAAAGATGGTATAATATTAAACTAGAATGGCTATTTTTAAATATAAGATGACTATAAAATCTTGAAACAAGATTAAGAACTAAAAAAATATTGACAAGAATAAAAAATGCTTCACTCTTGCCTCTATGTATACTATCTAATTAGGAGTTAAATGGCAATATTCAATAGGACGTCCAACACATGTTTAATTTCCTAGACATATGTTTTAACTTACAAGCTAAGTTTTTTTTACATCCTTGCCATATTATTTGCTTGTATCTTAAGCTACTCATATGTGCAAAATATGGCTAATTTATTGGTAAAGTTTCTAACCTAATAATTAATTATAATCATGTATAAAATAAACTACACATTTATGAAGCTTGTAGAAAACTTTGCTATAAGATAATATCAAATCTACTTATATTTATCTCCCATCTAGCACTTTTTATCTAAAAAAATATGAATGTCTATGATAATATATATATATATATATATATATATATATATATATATATATATTATTTCAGGATAATTTTTAGAAAGAGTGGTCATCATATGTTGAGGAAGTCGAAGATGCGACAAATTAAGTTTGCCACATAATTTGATCTTTATTCCTTTTGAAAGTGGTTGATAGGTCCTCTCACCCATTGATGGTGTTCTATATCAAAGCAATAAGACCATCTTATTACTTGATCATTGTTGAGGCTTTTGTAACTTACTTCAAATAAAATATTTGAAACACTATCAAGAATCATTCATATCTCTAATAAAATCACCAAATATTGAGAATCTCTTCCAAAATTATGATATCAAATACATTATATCTTACCATTTATTCAAGAAATAATATGTCATTTTTAAGGATCTTCATCTCTATTACATTATCTTGAAGGTTTTGACAATTGCAATATCTCATTTGATAAATCAACAAATAATAGCTCTTAAGTTGAATTTTCTTACTATTGATTTTCTATCTCTTAAGTGCCACTAATATATAAAAACTACAAACAAGGATAGAAAATAAAATGTAATCTTTCTTGGATCTTGTTTCTTTTATAGCAAAGATTTGCTATTCTTCATCTTGATTTTGAAGGATGTCATAGATAAAAACATCAACTTTTTTTATTGTATTTGTAAGATTCTTTGCAATTTTCCATGTGTACTTATTAATATCATATTTATGCTAATGAATAAGTTATTATAATCTATTTTGGCACTGCCTTGAATCTAAAACTTCTTCAAGCTCATATTTTTTATTATTGTCCACTTCTATATGAAAAAGTAGCATTTGCCTTCTTCTCAAGTTATTCATTAACTTATATGGTTTAAAAAGAGATATGTGAAATATATGATGGATCTTCATAGACTATAATAGATATAATTGATAAGCAATTGAATTAATTTATTCATACATAAGAAATAATCTAAGCCTATGATAATTCAACTTATCACAAGGACAAGTAGTCTTAATATTGCAACAAAATAACCATACCTTGTTGCCAACATGGAATTGAAATTTCTTTTAAAATATGAATTTGTATTGATCTTTTGTCATTCTTAAGCTTCTCTTAATTATGCCTTTATTATTGTATGTAGCTCAGATAAATAATTTGCCAAATCTTTTGTTGTAGGATTATCAACTTCTAAGAAGTCAAAAATATCAAGTTGTAGATAATAATCATAATTAATAAAGAAAGATATTTATTACATAAAAAATATACTATGTTATTATAAGCAAACTTTATCAATAATAAAAAAAATTTCAATCATCTTATTGATAGTTTATGATATATCTCAAATATTGCTTCAAAACTTGATTTATGTACTTTATTTGTCTATTGATTTGATGATGAAGATCATTTTATTTTTATTTTTAAAAACTTAAAAAAAATTCTCTAAAATCTTGATATAAATTAAATTCTCCTATTTAATATTATATCCTTGGACAATCCATGATAGTGATAGATATTATTAACAAAAACTTAGATGTTTCTTTACTTGTGATAGATTTTGTACATGATATAAAGTATATAATTTTCGTGAAATAATCTATTATCACAAATATAGAATCAGAAGAATTCAAGACTAGAAGATCTATAATAAAATCTATAGAAATAAAAGACCATGATTGTTTTGAAATATATAATAGCTGAAAAAGCCCATAAAGTTTGACAAGGAATTTTTGACCTTGAAAAAACATCACATGATTGTATAAAGTCTTTGTCTGCCTTTTATATATGAGGCCACTAATTGTTTTTAGATATTAGCTCCAAAGTCTTATAGTATCCAAAATCTCTAGTTGTTGAAAAGTCGTGAGAAGGTTGAAGAATACTTAATGGTGTTTTACCTTCTAGAATATATTATTATTCCTTGAAATAGAGTAGATTTTTCTTGAATTTAAACTTTGAGGTATAATAAAACTTAGAAAAATTATTTTTAATATCATGAATAAGAAGATAAAAAAAAAACTTAATTGAATTTGCTTGAAAAAAGTTGAATCAAGAGTTCATATTGATTTTATTGCTTGAAGTTAAAAATGCTTTGATTTCAAGAAAATTATTCTTTGTTGATAAAAAAATATTACATCTCTTTCTTTTAGGCATAAG